GACGAGGGAGAGGTGGAGCTGAAGCGTATCTCACCTCGGCCGGTACACACACACACACACACACACACACACACACACACACACACACACACACACACACACACACACACACACACACACACATACACATACACAGGGGGCCTCGTAGCCTGGTGGATAGCGCGCAGGACTCGTAATTCTGTGGCGCGGGTTCGATTCCCGCACGAGGCAGAAACAAATGGGCAAAGTTTCTTTCACCCTAAGTGCCCCTGTTACCTAGCAGTAAATAGGTACCTGGGAGTTAGTCAGCTGTCACGGGCTGCTTCCTGGGGTGTGTGTGTGTGTATGTGGTGTGGAAAAAAAAAAGTAGTTAGTAAACAGTTGATTGACAGTTGAGAGGCGGGCCGAAAGAGCAAAGCTCAACCCCCGTAAAAACACAACTAGTAAACACACACACACACACACACACACACACACACACACACACACACACACACACACACACACACAGCTTCTTGGTTGAGGCTGATTCCATACACAGCTTCAAGTGAAGATTCAAGTGTATTCAAGTGTAGCCCAGTAGGCTCAGGAACCTGTACATTAATTGATTGACAGTTGTGAGGCAGGATCAAAGAGCCAGAGCTCAACCCCCGCAAGCACAACTATGTAAGTACACACACACACACACACACACACTCTTTCTCTATCTCATTTCCACACTCCTCCACCCCTCTCCATTTTTTATTTCCTCCCTCTCTCATCATTTCGTTTCCCCTCCCATCCACTCCCTCTCTCTCCCCCTTCGCATCCCTCCATTCCTACTCATTTCTGCTCCCTCCCCTCTTTCTTTCTCTTGATTCTGGGCTCCACCACCACCATCAACATCGCCACACCATCACTACAACCGTCACTATCACCCTGCCACCACCACTGTCATCACGACCACCTCCATCGAACACCATCTGCACCATCACCAAAATAACCACCATCACAATTACCATCACAATGTCACCACTTCTTCCTAAGACACCATGCGTAATACTCTCAAACTGGTCCTTTACACACCCCCTCTCCCTTTCTCCCATCTCCCTCTCCCCTACTTTCCTCTTAACTCGTTTAGCTGTCTGGCTCTCTCCCAACTCCTATGAGCTTTCTACTGTGCCACTCGTGTCTGACTTCGGTCTGTCTTAGTGACGGTCTGGTTCCCATGTCTGTGTCATTGTTTGGCTGTCTCGCAACCTTTGTTAAGACTGACTCTCTCTCTCTCTCTCTCTCTCTCTCTCTCTCTCTCTCTCTCTCTCTCTCTCTCTCTCTCTCTCTCTCTCTCTCTCTCTCCTCTCTCTCCTCTCTCTCTCTCTCTCTCTCTCTCTCTCTCTCTCTCTCTCTCTCTCTCTCTCTCTCTCTCTCTCTCTCTCTCTCTCTCTCTCTCTCACACACACACACACACAACATCTAATTTCACTCGGCATTAGAGATTCTTTGTATATTTTACTTTTTCTTTATCCATTTGTTTTTTGTATTTTCATGTTTAACTCCAAATATAAGGTAATCTCTCTCTCCTAATGACTTCTGGAGTCATGAGAGGGTCCTCATGGCCACTGGATCTCAGCCTAAGCTGTATCTTTTATATCGTATCTAATTTCCAATTGATCCTAAAAATATAAAAACATGTTCTAGCCGATCATAGTTGAAGAAAGTCATTTCAAACCTATCAGGATAAGCACAAGCCTTTTCTAGCAATCATAGGGCGAATATGAATATTTTGTCTTCGATAGTGAGCCGTTATATACCTCTCCATATCTGTGAAAAGAAGGAAGTTTAGATGATGCTGACATCACCTAAATCCTACCCTATAATGGCGCAGTGTGGGGGGGGGGGGGGCAGGAGGGAGAGAGACCCAGCCGTAACATCCTGAATAACAGGACGGAAAAAAAGGGCCCCCTGCAGAAGCCCCCCTTCCCTCCCCCACACACCAACCCCTATGATCACACGTAGAAACTAAGACAGAATAAAAAATAGGCTGGGAGATGGGAATGGGGTAGGGGGATGAAGAAGAGGGATGAAGAGAGAGAGGGATGAATAGAGACATTCATCCCCTGCTATCCATCATACAACTCCCGGATCCACCCCACAACTCTCTCACCCTCACCTTCACCGCCCGAAGAATGACTCACGTAACGAAGGGTTGGTTGGAGGGGTGAGGGGGTGAAGAGTGAGAGGTGAGAGATGAGAGGGAGGGCCTCGTGCTCCGGAAAGCATTGCTTCGTAGAGCCGACAACTGTTCAAAAGGCGGACGGTCCCCGGCGCCCGTGGGCAGGGCGGGAAGGGCAGTTTATCACAGCTGGTAAAGAAAGGCAGCTACGCCTCGGATGGCAGGTGGAGGAGGGAGGAGCGAGGCGGATGGCTGTGTAGGTCGTGGGATCAGGTTGTGGACGCGGTATTGAAGACACTCCGGTGAAGAAGGGTTTGAGGTGTCAACAATGGCTGTGTGGTGGTGCTGGGCAAGTTACACCAAGCACAACGCTTGGGGTAACTTGCTAGACGCTGGAATAGGTGATTCTGATGATGGGTCCTTCATAACTAGCTTGGTGTTTCAACGTAATGGCCATCATCCTCTGGAGAGATATTTAGGCAATTACGATTACTCACTGACCACCCAGCAAGTGTACTTTGATTTTGGACATTGTCCAAAGCTAAAGTAAACTCAACCCGTTCTCGCAAATTTAATAAGTCAATATTGACTTATTAAATATGTGCATAGGTGACATACTTAACATAATAGATACCCTTAAAAAGATTCATAGAAAACACCGACCTTACCTAACCGTGTTAGTATCTTAAGATAAGCATCTTATAGCTTCGTAATTACAATTATTACCTAACCTATAATAGGTATAGGTTAAGTAATAATTGTAATTACGAAGCAATAAGATGCTTATCTTAAGATACTAACAAGGTTAGGTAAGGTCGGTGTTTTCTATGAATCTTTTTAAGGGTATCTATTATGTTTAGTATATCACCTATGCACGTAGTTAATAAGTCAATATTGACTTTACGAATTTGCGAGAACGGGTTGAGTAAACTCTCAGTGAATATAGAAACCGGGTTCACATATCGTTGTATATCGCCAGTATGCCCTCACACCTAGTGCTGAGCATGATCTTAATGCTGAGTACTGAACACATGTTGCTGAAAGTGTTACTCTTAATGTAGAGTACAGCACAGTAGTGTGCAGGGAGAAGAGTGATAGATTTGCAAGTAGTTAATCCAATACTGGCCCTCTGGTGGCCACCATGTCTGTGTCGCATCTCAAAGACGTTTGATACGTGCAGCATGTAAGTATCTAACGAATACGTACATGTACAAATTGGATAAAACAACGCATAAGTGTACGAGAATTGAACAGTGTTCTCGACCAAAAGGCACGACCTTAGTTAACCTAATAGGGGTTGATGGTTTGATTCGTAAGTACAATTTGTCTGTAAGTATTTACAGCATAGTAAATCACCCTTGAGGAACAATCGGCTCAGGATCACTACAGAATCTTCCTCGTCTCATCCTACGCTGGATTTCCTTTCTCAGTGTCCTTACGAACGTGATGATCTTTGTTCGTTTGCTTAACAAACGTCTATTTACCCTGGTTGGCCATTACTCTGGGAACGTCATTTCTGTCACAAATCTAATGTCAACAGGAGGGAGTTACTCCAAAGTGAAGGAGAGGAGGGAGGGAGGGAGGAATAATTGACAGAGCAGCGTCAATGATTTATCATCTGTTTAGTTAGTGAGAGGGTCCAGACATAATTGTCATTTGAATAACTGAATATTAAAGGAGGCTTCCATGCAGTGAAGCGTGCTGGATGACGTTAATTTCCCGGAGTTGTACTGTGTATTAACATGTACTAACCTAGATGTGCTTGTAGGATCCAACACTACATCTTGGACCCCGCTTTTATAGCTGCAGGTTATATAATGCAATGACTCCTGACCTATTTTCCCATCATATCTGTTTTTAAAATTATGCTGCTACAATCTGTTCCTTCAGTTCATTTCATTTTTCCACTACTCTTACGCTAAAATAAAACTTTCTATGACTCATCTGAGTCTTAATTCGCTCCCATCTATGCCCTCTTGTTCTATTGGTATTTTTTATGAACATTTCCTATTTTTCCACTATCAATCCCATCCTCAAAATTTTATACATCTCTATCATGTCTTCCCTTTCTCTCCTTCTAGCGTTGTCAGAAATAGTTCCTTCAGTTTCACTTCATATCCCATCCCTCACAATGTTGGGACAAACCTCGTTGCAAACTTCTGAACCACTTCGAGTGCTTGTGTTTAGATGTGGGCTGTATAATGGAGCGGCATGCTCTAAAAGTAGTCTCTCGTAGGCAGCGTACAGCGATCTAAATGCTTCCTTGTTTAGGTTCCTGAATAATGTTTTGACTTATATTAGTGTAGAGTATGCTGCTGATGCCATCCTATTTAATATTCTCCAGAGTTAGGTCTGGTGTTATGTCCACTCCCAGGTCTTTTTCTCTAGTCGTTATAGGGAGGTTGCTTCCCTTCGTCCTCTACTGCCCTTTTGGTCTCCTACCATCTGCTCCCATTTCCACCACCTTACACTTGTTGGTGGTGAACACCAGTAGTCATTTCTCGGACCAACTTTGCAGCTTGTTTAAGTCATCTACGAGAATCTTACAATCTTCATCTGTCACAACTCTTCTCATTAGTTTTGCGTTGTCTGAAAACATCGAAATGTAAGACTCAACTCCTGCAGATAGGTTATTTACATAAATGAGAAAGAGTATGGGTTCAAGCATCACTCCTAGAGGTACTCCACTTGTTATTGTAAGCCATTCCGACTTCTCGCCTCTCACTGTTACTCTCTGACATGTGTCTGTTAGGTAATTCTTTACCCACGGTAGTGCTTTTCCGCTTATTCCCGTCTCTCTCGAGTATGTGTAGTAATTTCTTGTGAGGTACTGTACCAGAGGTTTTCTGGCAATCCTTAAACATGCAATATGTCCAGCCTTCTCAGTACTGCTTTAGTTCCATTACTTTATCATAGAACGCAAGTAAGTTAGTCACGATTTCCCTTCTCTAAAGCATTGTTGATGGTTGCTTAAAACTTGGACCATTGGAGATCGAACGTCGACCCTGCAAGAAGCGAGGCCGTTGTTCAAGCGACAGCTTCAAGGGATTGGGTACATAGGAGCTGGATATGCTGTTAGGGGTAAGGGACAGAAGCTGGTTGGCCAAGCCGTTCAGTTTCTGTGGTCCATCAGAATCAGAGAGCAGAAAGTGAGGTTCCCCCTGGGGGGGTCCCGAGGGGCTGGGGTCGCCACTACCAGTAATCCTTTGATCCAGTAATGTCAGCCTTTGACAGAAATAGGAAAAGACAGAGAGAGAGAGAGAGAGAGAGAGAGAGAGAGAGAGAGAGAGAGAGAGAGAGAGAGAGAGAGAGAGAGAGAGAGAGAGAGAGAGAGAGAGAGAGAGAGAGAGAGAGAGATTGCTGGTTCAGGAATTAAGCACAGCGAGACTGTCGGTGTTATCCAATGGATGTTAGCTGGGTTGTTATTGTGGTAGTGGTGATGACTGGTGCTGCAGTAGTGATTACTTCCCCTACTCTCAGAAAATTTATTAAGAACCCCCAAAACAAGTGTGTGGGTCCCCGACCAGCCTATGTCCATCCCGTACCCCAGACCACCACGCATGCAGAATTGGGCGAGGCTAACCCCAAGCATCTGGCATTTAACTTTGGACATACAAACGCAGAAATAGACATTCACTTATATATATATATATATATATATATATATATATATATATATATATATATATATATATATATATATATATATATTGTATAGTACTTCATATATATATATATATATATATATATATATATATATGTCGTACCTAATAGCCAGAACGCACTTCTCAGCCTACTATTCAAGGCCCGATTTGCCTAATAAGCCAAGTTTTCATGAATTAATGTTTTTTTTCGTCTACCTAACCTACCTAACCTAACCTAACCTAGCTTTTTTTGGCTACCTAACCTAACCTTACCTATAAATATAGGTTAGGTTAGGTTAGGTAGGGTTGGTTAGGTTCGGTCATATATCTACGTTATTTTAACTCCAATAAAAAAAATTGACCTCATACATAGAGAAAAGGGTTGCTTTATCATTTCATAAGAAAAAAATTATAGTAAATATATTAATTCAGAAAACTTGGCTTATTAGGCAAATCGGGCCTTGAATAGTAGGCTGAGAAGTGAGTTCTGGCTACTAGGTACGACATATATATATATATATATATATATATATATATATATATATATATATATATATATATATATATATATATATATATATATATATATATATATATATAAAGAGAGTGACAACAAGGATTCTAGCACGACCAACCACGCGTAATATACTCTACAGTGCCAGACACAAGTCAACTTTCAGTTAATAAACACTGTCAAGCAGAGTAAACTTCAGGAAGGATATATATTCCTTGAAACAAAATCAATTTTGATAACGTTATTAACAATTCTACACGTGTTTTTTTTGCTGGGTAAATCAATAATTTGTGCAGTACTTCAAATAAGCAGAAAACCTAAACATTTGCAAAAGAAATAAAGTGATATAATTTTATATTTCTTGCATGCAGGTGTATGGAAATTTGAACGTCGAATTTTCGCAACGGTGTCTAGAGAACTCTGCAGAATTTCGTGTTTTGAGTCGAAGCCCTAGAAAACCTGGTCCAGACCCCCCCCCACCCCCCCCCGGTAGTAGTGAAGGGGAGACTATAGTATTTTTGTTCGGCAACGCTATCCTCTTTCTTTATTCCTGGAAAGAGTTTTTCTGAAATAAAATACCAGGTGTTGAAGGCTTTGTGTGTGTGTGTGTGTGTGTGTGTGTGTGTGTGTGTGTGTGTGTGTGTGTGTGTGTGTGTGTGTGTGTGTGTGTGTGTGTGTGTGTGTATTCACCTAGTTGTGCTTGCGGGGGTTGAGCTCTGCTCTTTCGGCCCGCTTCTCAACTGTCAATCAATCATCTGTAACTAACTACTAACTAATACCCCCCCCCCCGCCCCCACACTCGTACACACCCAGGAAGCAGCTCCGTAACAGCTGTCTAACTCCCAGGTACCTATTTACTGCTAGGTAACAGGGGAATCAGGGTGAAAGAAACTTTGCCCATTTGTTTCTGCTTGGTCCGGGAATCGAACCCGGGCCACAGAATTACGAGTCCTGCGGTTTGTGTGTGTGTGTTCTATTTTACTTATGGTTTGTTTCCCTTAATATCTTTGTCACTTTTTTTTATTTTTACCTCAACACTTCTTGCCGCCTTTACTTTCTACTTTACTTTCTCTGTGTCCTGAAACTCCTAACCTTTTAATCGGCTTCCTTATCTTCAGCTGCCTACTCCACCTCCTCATCTTCAGCTGCCTACTCCACCTCCTCATCTTCAGCTGCCTACTCCACTTCCTCATCTTCAGCTGCCTACTCCACTTCCTCATCTTCAGCTGCCTACTCCACCTCCTCATCTTCAGCTGCCTACTCCACTTCCTCATCTTCAGCTGCCTACTCCACCTTCTCATCTTCAGCTGCCTACTCCACCTTCTCATCTTCAGCTGCCTACTCCACCTTCTCATCTTCAGCTGCCTACTCCACCTTCTCATCTTCAGCTGCCTACTCCACTTCCTCATCTTCAACTGCCTACTCCACCTCCTCATCTACAGCTGCCTACTCCACCTCCTTATCTTCAGCTGCCTACTCCACCTCCTCATCTTCAGCTGCCTATTCCACCTTCTCATCTTCAGCTGCCTACTCCACCTCCTCATCTTCAGCTGCCTACTCCACCTCCTCATCTTCAGCTGCCTACTCCACCTCCTCATCTTCAGCTGCCTACTCCACCTCCTCATCTTCAGCTGCCTACTCCACCTTCTCATCTTCAGCTGCCTACTCCACCTCCTCATCTTCAGCTGCCTACTCCACCTCCTCATCTTCAGCTGCCTACTCCACCTTCTCATCTTCAGCTGCCTACTCCACTTCCTCATCTTCAGCTGCCTACTCCACCTTCTCATCTTCAGCTGCCTACTCCACCTCCTCATCTTCAGCTGCCTACTCCACTTCCTCGTGCTAAATCATTGCACAATTTCAGCTTTTGAACATCGGTGTTATAATAATTGCATATTTAGTATAAAATATCTGCTTTACTGACATTAATCTTTATTTCCAGTTTGAAAACCCAGTCAAATATCCACGTCTTATGCTATCTGTTTTGACAATGTGCGTACCCAGAGGTAACACCACTCTTCTACTGGACCTAATACCACTCTTCAATTGGAACTATTTTCACGTTTTTACTGGACCTAATACTACAAATGCTTCTACTTGAGATAACACTACAACCGCTTCTACAATCAATGCTACTTTTACTCTTAGTAACAATACAATCACTATTGCGTAATGATAATGAGAGTTCCACATCTATAAATAAGGCTGTAAATTGTGAATATCGTAAAGAAATATTTCGCCCTGAAAATTACTAGTTTGCATAATTCTTAACTCAACTATACAAAATAGATCAACTACGGAGCTATTAACCATACACGCGTTATTTCAAACTTTTCAATTACCTGAAAATCCGGTTCTCAACATGCTTATGCTAGGACAAACCCATTTGTTTTAATATATAAATTTAACCACCGGCCCAATGTAAACTATTTACATTTCATCAAAAGCCTATGCTCTGTAGCCGGATGAAACATGTCAGAAGCACTTAGGCAAACATGTCAGCCAACATCGACTCACTCACAAACTAATCAATGAAATATAGTGATGTACTGATATATTTTGCTTCGTAAATGTTGATCAATATATATATATATCCTTTGTTTAATGTGGACATACAATAGTATAAGGGACGTGAGCCAGTAACATCAGCGAGTGTGTATGTATGTTGCTGCTGAACACATATATATATATATATATATATATATATATATATATATATATATATATATATATATATATATATATATATATATATATATATATATATATATATATATATATATATATATATATATATATATATATATATATATATATATACATATACATATATATATATATATATATATATATATATATATATATATATATATATATATATATATATATATATATATAAGGCCCGATTTCCATAATTATTGTTCTTATTGATATGACTATTTTTTGGCCATATCAGAAATTATATGCCCTGATCACGCATAATCATAACAGTGTACTTACACTGTAAATCCTTCAAAATCGTTGTTGATGTGGTTTTTCTCTTAGACTTGGTGAACTGCTCATGAACTGTGTGTGTGGAGTGATCTTAGAGTAGGAGGACCAGAACCCTTATCGGATTACCTCTGATTGATTGATTGATGAAGGTTAATTCACCTAAGAGGTGGAACGGGCATGAATAGCCCGTAAGGATTACATCTGTTAACCTAGCATAAATTACCTCTATTCACTCAGCATAAATTTCGGTAGGTGGGTGCGAACCAACTTGCGGGTCGTGTTCCACGAAAAAAAGTCGAAATGTAAAGCTTGCCACGATCTTAACAAAGGAAGGGAAATCTTTCAGTCTGTTAACGACAGTCGAAATTCGTTTGCTCCCGTACCCACTTGCATAAAAATAATCGTAGCCTGATGGTTCTAATAATTAAGTCATGCCCGAAACGACCAAATTTGTGTTTACCGTGACCAAGCCAACAATTATTACCCATATACACTCCAGCTGCCCTCGGATCTGCGTTAAATCATAGACCAGGGCTCAATTAAACTTTTTAACTTTGTCGTGCCATTGCTAACTGATGTACATAGTTTTTAGTCTATTGTTTATGTGTTGTAGGGAAGGGGGGGGGAGGGGGTAGGCGAGAGGGGAATGTTTTTAACAGTTCGTATATTGTCTATTCTACCGATGCCGTTAGCTAATATACGTGTGTCCTCACATTTAATACAGTACAGTGTTATGTATGTCACTGAGGTTTACAAGAGGGCGTCACTGATGACTCGTTTCATTCCTAGTTACGGTTCCCTGGACCACCGCCACTAAGGTATATGCAGGCTAGTATCCATTCTCCGTGACATATATGCTACAAACTATAATATCTTTTTGCCATTTAGGTACTTTTAAGATACTTTCTTAAGTATCTAACTTTTCTTAACTTTTACTTAAGATAAGAAGAAAAAAATGTTGACGTTTCAGGCCGGTTTGGAGCTGTTTTACATGTGCTTTCATTATTATACACGAAAAATAAACAAATTCTTATTAAATCTAAAGAAATCATATTAGTTTTAATATTTAAATCTTCATGTGAACTTTATTGAAAAATATATACATATTACATTTTGTGATTTGAACTAAAAATCATTGATTTTGGCCATATTTTCACGTTTTCCACGGTTTAAAATATTTCAAAATAATGTAATAATTCATTAAATATACGCTAAATATAAGTCAAGGGCTTATAATACTACAAGTGTTATCCAATTGTGCTCGCATCTCCCTTCACCTCCCTCTCTTAACCCTCCCTCTTTCTTCTCCCATCCTCCCTCTCTCACCCTTGTCTCACCTCTCTACCCCTGTCCCCCCCTCTCCTCTCCTATCTCCCCTCCCCCATCCTCCCCATCTCCCCCAACATGCTCCTCTCCCCCTTCCGTCTCCCTTTTCTCTATTCTTTCTCCCAATTTCCCCTTCTCCATATCTCTTCCTACATGCCCCCTCACTTCTTTTCACAAGCCAACAACACATATCTCTACCACTCCTCTCCCACCGTCTCCACCTTTCTCGACTTTCTCTTCCTTCTACTTCAACATCCCCCCTTCTCCCCCTCCCATTCGTATTACATTATAATGCTGTTTAACAGCATTATAATTAATGATTTACTTCAGTTCCATAATAAGAATTATGGAATAAATTATATAGTTACCCTTGAATTTCATTGCGAATGAAGAGGAAAACTGGATATTGGTATGACCAACTTATCTAATCACAACGACCTAAAAAATAATCGTAAACTGGTACTATTGGCAGGAACAGAAAACCTTTTAGGCATATGAAGGTTTCCCCTTAACCAAAATGTGAGGGGGTGCACCATCCAGTTTCTGCCCTGGCCCAACGATGTTTAACCAGACTTAATGTGAAGCCCACACCACCCACTGGTCCAGTGTTAATCATAAAGCAATGTATATCATTTCACTTAACTCTCTCTCTCTAGGGTAGAATAATACTGATCTTACATAAATGCTCACGAGATTGAATGGTATAATTAAAAACGGAAAGAATGTATAAAAAGTGAAGATGGAAAACGAATGAAAAAGAAATTATAGTTTCCAATTCCTTCAGTCGAGGAAAGGAGAAGCCTGTTGGGATTGTGGAAGTCTCCCTTAGCCACCTTCAGACAATCTCCAGGATGCAACCCACAGCCGTGGCTATAGACTGCCAACTGAACAGAGACATGTGATGTAGGGAACGGGATAAACGTTTCGCCCAACCGAGGGAATCGAACCCCGGGACGTCTCGGTTGAGATCCAACTGCGCAAAAGTACAATCTGAAAAAGTTCTTCCGGATGTAATAAACTTTAAAAATTTATATTCTAAAATATTATTTGTTTCTTGTTATTTATTAAGAGAAGCCCGTAACTACTTGCTCCGAATTTTAAACATTTAAAGAACTGACAAAAGCCAGACCGGCCGGTGGAAAATACTTGGCATTGTCGTAAAATAATAACAAAACGAACATAGTTATCTTTTTGTGTAGTATTAATTTTCTTGTCAAATTTGTGTGTGACTTTGGAGGACTATGAGTCATGATAAAGAGATCTGAGGATTAAGAAGCTTTTTGTTTACTATCCGTAAAGGAAGAGCCCCTCGCCTGAAACACATGGGCACCATAATGGGAGCCGGTCGGCCGAGCGGACAGCACACTGGTCTTGTGATCCTGTGGTCCTGGGTTCGATCCCAGGCGCCAGCGAGAAACAATGGGCAAAGTTTCTTTCACCCTATGCCCCTGTTACCTAGCAGTAAAATAGGTACCTGGGTGTTAATCAGCTGTCACGGGCTGCTTCCAGGGGGTGGAGGCCTGGTCGAGGACCGGGCCGCGGGGACACTAAAGCCCCGAAATCATCTCAAGATAACCTCAAGAAGATAACCATACACGCAGAAATTGTATACAGTTCATAACATACACCAAGGACCTGAATTGGAATTTTGTATCACCATCCGCCTTGTACTGAAATCCTCCCAAGATGGAACTAGTAACCCTCCTCAGGATGCAACCTAACAACAGTTGGCTAACTCCCGGGTACCTATATACTGTCAGGTGGATAAAGGCATTAGGTCAAAGGAAACGTGCCCAACCATTTCTGTTTCGCCCCGATTGGGAGTTTAGAACGAAGCCAACTGTAAAAAAACAAAAAAGCTGTATGTAGAAAATCAGTAAGAACCGTGCTAAGGATTCGAACCTATGCTCTGGGTACTCCCAAGCAAACGCCTTAGACGACTAGGCGACGACGTGGTCAAAAAGAATTGCAACCTGGGATTCTATTGAATCCACGAGGGTTCCTGAGGCTTCCACTGAAGCCGAACCAGGGTTTCACACAATCTCCCCCGTGCACTCTGGCTCTGTCGTCTAGGAATTCTACCTCTAACGCTTCCTCTTTCAATGCACAAAGAAATCAAATTATCGTGATGTATCCGAGATAAAATCCGCAGGAGAAAATCTCCTCCTGATTTTCTCATTGATACATCACGGTAATGTGATTTCTCTGTGCAGGTTGTATGTATTGTCCACAACATTTCCTGACAAAAATAATAACCATTTTCAGAAACTTTTTAAGCTGTTTTTATCGCTAGATGCCGGTATATTTCTTATCGGGTATGCTATATTCTGTCATCAGTAGAAACCGATATATTACTTATTAGTTATGCTAATTAGCTGGGAAATGGAGTCACACAAGGTACTAATTTGAGTCTTTTGTTATATGCTGTTTGTCTTTATCCAGTGTTGAAGGTTTTGAGAGCCACTAGTAGAGCTGGGTGTTAAGAACAATACTATTCTTAGTACTGTCACATAGGCAATACTATGAATAGTGTTACTTTTATAAGAACCAG